TCTTTCTCGGATTACTCTGTTGGCTCCATTCTCAGGCAGGCTCTTCATGGTGGGAAGATGGTGGCCCGCATCTCCAGGTATACAACTCCGCATCTCCATCAAAGAAGTGTGCTTCTCTTTTCTCATAGTTCCCTAAAGTCCCAGAATCTCATTACCTTGACTTGGGTCACATGCCCTTCGCTGATTAGTGTGGTCAGAAGACTGTGATGTTGTTTGGTTAAACCTGGAGTTGAGAATATAAGTTCTTCAAGGAAAATCAGAGTTTTGTTTTCCTTTGAAGGGGCACTAGATAGTGGGGCAGACAAAAAGGTTAGTTGTCTACTGTGTAAAGATGAGAGAGTTAGCTAAGCGAAAAGTGAGTGGGTAAAAGTATTCCAGGCAGACAGAGCAGTATGTCTGAAGCCCTGAGGCAGAGAAGTGAAGAGAAGGAAAGATGGCCTGTGTAGCTAGACCACAGGTTTCAAGAAGTAGACTGACAGGAGATTTGGAGAAGTGCAACCAAAAAAACCAAACCCACGGCCGTCCAGTCAGTTCTGACTCATAGCGACCCTACAGAACAGAATAGAACTGCCCCATAGGAGCTCCAAGGAGCAGCTGGTGGATTCGAATTACGGACCTTTTTGTTAGCAGCCATGCTCTTAACCACTGTGCCAGCAGGGTCAAATTATGTAGGTCCTATTAAGGGTCTTGGGAGCCCTGGTGGCACAATGATTAAGAGCTCAGCTGCTAACCAAAAGGCCAGCAGTTGCAATCCACCAGTGGCCCCTTGGAAACCGCATGGGGTAGTTCTACTCTGTCCTATAGGATTGCTGGAGTTGGAATCGACTTGACGGCAATGGGTTTATTAAGGGTCTTACACAACATTTTAAGAGCCAAGAAAACCCTATGGAGCTGTTTTACTCTGCACCACATGGGGTCGCCACAATGGTCTTTTTATTAAGAGCCTTTGAATGGGAATATGGGGGTTGTGTGGGGAGAGGCTGTGAATAAGGAAATAATTGCCAGTCCCAAATGGGACCTGCAGGCATCAGAGGATGAGCCCGCCCCACCTCTCAGAGAACAAAGATGACTAACAGCTTCCTAAAATATTAAAGGAACTTTCCATAAGGGCTGTTAAATTGGCCTGCACCTTTATTCCCTGGACACATTTTTAAAAATTAACAAATAAAGAGGCAAAGCTTTGCAGAGCTGGATCCTGGCTTTGGAGAGAGGTGAGCCGAGGCCTCTGCACCACTCCCCCTTTCCACACGGCGCTCCGCAGCCCCTCCCTCCCCTGGAGCTTCTGTTACTTTGCTCCTCTGGTGAGGCTCTCCCTGCCTGGTGGAGCCAGGGGCCTCTCCACAATCCGGTTTTCTAAACGAACGGCTCCAGGGAAGACAGGGAGGTATGCATGTGCTTCCTCCTGGCCCCATTCTTGCCCACCCCTTACATCCTGCATAGCCTAAAGTGATGATTGCAGCAGAGATCTTGCTTCCCTGGGTCTAGTCTCAGGCTTGCAAACCACCAGAAGATTCGGACACCTGTGACGGAGAAACTCCCCGTCCTGTATCTCGCTGCATGTCTGCTTGTTGTTGTTAGGTGTTGTTGAGTCAGTTCCAACTCATAGTGACCCTCTGCTAAAAACGCTCCCTGGTCCTGCGCCATCCTCACAATCGTTATGCTTGAGCCCATTGTTGCAGCCACTGTGTCAGTCCATCTCCCTGAGGATCTTCCTCTTTTTCACTGACCCTCTACTTTATCAAGCATGATGCCCTTCTCCAGGGACTGATCCCTCCTGATAACATGTCCAAAGTACCTGAGACGAAGTCTCACTATCCTTGCTTCTAAGGAGCACCCTGACTATACTTCTTCTAAGACAGATTTGTTCCTTCTTCTGGCAGTCCATGCTGTATTCAATATTCTTTGCCAACACCATAATTCAAAGGCATCAATTCTTCCTTGGTCTTCCTTATTCATTGTCCAGCCTTCGCATGCATATGAGGCAATTGAAAATATCATGGTTTGGGTCGGGCGCACCTTAGTTCTCAAAATGACATCTTTGCTTTTTACACTTTAAAGAGGTCTTTTGCAGCACATTTGCCCAATGCAATACGTCATTTGATTGCTTAACTTATTCCATGGGCGTTGATTGTGGACTCCAGTAAAATGAAATCCTTGACAACTTCAATATTTTCTGTTTATCGTGGTGTTGCTTATTGGTCCAGTTGTGAGGATTTTTGTTTTCTTTATGTTGAGGTGTAATCCATACTGAAGGCTGTGGTCTTTGATCTTCATCAGTAAGTGCTTCAAGTCCTCTTTCTTTCACCAAGCAAGGTTGTGTCATCTGCAAATTGCAGGTTGTTCATGCCACGTTCTTCTTCATATAGTCCAGCTTTTTGGATTATTTGCTCAGCATACAAATTGAGTAAGTATGGTGAAAGGATACAACCCTGATGCACACCTTTCCTGACTTTAAACATTTATTCTGTTGGAACGACCACCTCTTGGCCTATGTACAGTTCCTCACAAGCACAATTAAGTCTTCTGGAACTCCCATTCTTTGAAATGTTATCCATAATTTGTTATGATCCACACAGTTGAATACCTTTGGACAGTCAGTAAAATACAGGTAAACATCTTTCTGGCATTCTCTGCTTTCAGCCAAGATCCATCTGACATCAGCAGTGATGTCCCTTGTTCCACATCCTCTTCTGAATCTGGCTTGAATTTCTGGCAGTTCCCTGTCGATGTACTGCTGCAACTGATTTTGAATGATCTTCAGCAAAATTTTACTTGCGTGTGATATTAATGATATTGTTCAATAATTTCCACATTCTGTTGGATCACCTTTCTTTGGAATGGGCACAAATATGAATCTCTTCCAGTCAGTTGGCCAGGTAGCTGTCTTCCAAATTTCTTGGCATAGACAAATGAGTACCTCCAGTGCTGCATCCATTTGTTGAAACATCTCAGTTGGTATTCTGTCAATTCCTGGAGTCTTGTTTTTCGCCAATGCCTTCAGTGCAGCTTGGACTTCTTCCTTTGGTACTTTTGGTTCCTGATCATATGTTACCTCTTGAAATGGTTGAATACTGACCAGTTCTTTTTGGTACAGTGACTCTGTGTATTCCTTCCATCTTCTTTTGATGCTTCCTGCGTCGTTCAATATTTCCCCCATAGAATCCTTCAATATTGCCACTCAAGGCTTGAATTTTTTCTTCAGTTCTTTCAGCTTGAGAAGTACTAAGCTGCTTAGGAAAGTAAATCTAAAGTTTTCCATGTAAGAATTTTGATAGCCTTTAAATACAGTGGGCCTCTGTGTATATGTTTTATTTGAAGTAAATTCAGAAAGCACAAAAAGAAAAAATTGGTGGACAAAGCCTTGGCATGCCCATGCAGGGATATGGAGTTTAGTCTTTCAACAAACAGAGAGCATTTACTGTGTGCCAGGCACTGTTCTAGGCACTGGGGGGGGGGGTTCATCACACCCCTGCACGTACAAAGTTCACGTTCTAGCAAGGGAGATAGACAATAAGCAATAAACCAAATGGATCAGTACATTATGTAGTACGTGTACGGGAGGCGAGTGCTAGGGATAAAAGCAGAGGGCAGTGAGGGGGATTGGGAGGGCTGGGTGGGGGCAGGGCCTCGGACTTCTCTATGTTAGAACAGACACAGCAAGTGTGGCCTAGAATAGAGCCTGGCAAACCAAAGCTACCCGGGAAAGTTAATTCCCTTCCAGTTTTCTGTGCCTAAAAATTCTCATTCATGGAGTTTGAACTTCAGCATTCACACCCAGCAAGCAAATGACGGCTGAAGACTGAGCAGAGGTGAACGATAGAAGGAAACCAGCATCACTGTTAGTTCCAGTTGCCTTGCAGAGTGCAGTGTTTTTAATCAAATTAAAGAACGTATTTTATGATTACACCTTTCATTACGTACAAACGTAGGATTTCACCAGGAGGAAATACAAGACTGTAAGTTGCACGTGCCTGTGAACTTCAAGGTCATAAGTGTTGAAGTGAGCTCAAGAGTTCTCTTTAAAGTATATCTTGACCTCGGTGGGGGTTACACAGGTGATAGAGCTGAAAAAATTCATTGAGCTATAGCTTAAGATTTGGACATTTCTAGTATATGTAAATTATACCTCAGTAAAAGAAAGAAAGAAATGATTACAGTTGGCATTGAACTTAGAGAGGTAGCCACTCCGATGTTCTCCGTCCGTCCAAGGAGGTGCTTGAGCCTGAACATAGGCAGGACAGGCTCTCAGGACAAGGGCATGGGGCAGGGATCGGGGAGTCTGCCCAGGGATGCCCATGTTGTGGAGAAGCCCCATCAGGTGGGAAATGGGCATGGGCTGGCCTGTGATCCCGCTGCCTTTACTGCAGTCCCTGCCTCTCCTTGAGGGTCCTGGGCCAATGCAGGAACACAATACCCACACAGGAAATATCTAGAGAGCAAGTCCAGGCGAGGCCACTGGGTCTCAGGAACAAAGCTTTTATCCTTGCTGAGGAAGGCACGTCTTCCCTGCTTCCCGGCATCTATGACAGGCAGCAGCTGAGTACATGGGGTCACGGAATCGTCACAGGCTAGATGGAGAATGGCAGTTCTCACCCAAGAAGACCCCTGGCTGAGTAAACATGGTGCCTGCCTGTCATCTCTGCCTCTCCCTCTGCTCGCCCTGGCCCTCGCCCTGGTCTCTTTAGCTCTTTTCTGTGATTCTCTCTGCCACCCAAGACACACCCAAGATTCTACACATTCTTTATCAGATTCCTGACAACTGTCAGAGGATGCTCAGAGACCTGAGCCAGACACATGTCCCCATATGCACATGTTGTTAGACGCTTCACGTCATGAACCCTCAGAAATGTTAATTGTTTGTGTGTTTCTAATAGAAACGCCCGCCTCTTGGGAGGTTTGTCTCTAGGCGAGGCTGTGAGACTGGAGTAGCAGGGGCCTAACCAATGGAGCCCACACAGGTGGTATCCTCTCACCGGGCCGCTTCCCATTCTTCTCCGTAGGAGGCAGTGTCACATTGCCCGGAAGAAGACCAATTGGCCCGAATTCAAAATGTTATCCAGGAGCTTCCTCCATCCCATTATAGGTAAGGCTTATGGTGAAATTAATTTGCAGCCTCTCAATGTGGTGTAATACTAAAGGTGCAGACCGGCATCAACAAAGGGGGTAAATTCAGTGGACAGTGGCTTTCCTAGATGTTTCAAGGTTGGTGAATAGGTCACTGTTACCGGATGACTTGGTGCCTGACCAAGGACATTGGCGGAGAGGGGCAGCCCATCTCTAAGTCACTTGCAGACCCCCTCAGAGTCCCACAGGAAGTCATTCCAATCACACAAGCCAGCCTCACGGTGATATCCTGTGGATACTTGGGTCTTACACAGATCTGTGGCCTGACCAAATCTGTGGAAACCAAGGTGGCTTTTGAACAGGTTTTGACAGTAGCTCTTGAGCGTGGGGCCTGCTTGCAGTGCCATCCCTTACATCATCTCCGTCCTTTCATTTTATTCTCACAATTTAGCCCCTGATTTTACCATCTTTCCCAGGTTCCCCTATGCCTGCCCATCTCATACGACAGGGCAGATTTTGATGTGGCAGAAGAAAAAACTTCCTAACAATAATAGATAGATATTATTCACCAGATGAAATTAGCTCCCTTGAGAAGTACCAAGTTCTTTGTAGCTGGAAGCACTCAAAAAAGAGCCCAGATGAGAGTTGATTTCAAACCTGCACGGAGGCGCCCTGGTGGGAGGAGGAATGGGTGGCCTCTAAGAACCTCAGCCTCTGAGGGGCTGGGATTCCCTGATTCTGTGTCTGGCTGGTGCTCCATGGGCCTTGGCTGACTTCTGACGAGACCATCCTCCTTCCCTACCCTGAGCCAGCATGCCTAGGGCCAAGAAAATTACTTCCATCAATCTTGATATTCCTTTAAATTTCACGAGATAGAAATAAGGAGTTTCATAAATCCAAACTTAGGGAATTATCTCCAGATGTCAGGCTTTACAAAGGCACTAAAGTTTCTTATTTTGTCAAAAAAATGAACACTGCAGGACCTTGGAATACCTGATCCGACACCTGGCCCACATCGCCTCCTTCAGCAGCAAGACCAACATGCATGCCAGGAACCTGGCCCTGGTGTGGGCCCCAAACCTCCTCAGGTAACTGCCACAGCCTCACCTCCCACCACACTGGGGGGCTCAGTCTGCAGATGAAACGAAGTCTGGGTTCTTCAAAATTGAAGGCCCTTTACAACAAATCAGTAGCTAAGTGGTTATTTGTAGCGTGTATGAATTAAAGGTGGTTTTAATAGCCTAAGCTCTTTGCTTGCTAACCAGAAACTCCGTGTTCCGATGGTGTTTTCTAGCTACAACTAGGATGCAACCAAGATTGTGGGTCCTTATGTTACAATTTCTTAAAAAGGCCTTTCTTGTCTTTGGGGCTCATTGGCTCTCCTTGATTTTTGTGGGGTCACAGCTGGCTGTAACCTGAATCAGCTTCTTCCTATCCTTGATAAATGATGACCTGTTCCATAGAACAACTGGGCGGGGGAGGAAGGAGAGCCTATGAAGGAAAAAAAAAAATCAATTTCTGTATGTTCACCCACATAGCATTTATATTTTTGTAATACCAAACCAAAAACCAAACCCATTGCCGTCAAGTCGATGCTGACTCATAGCGACCCAACAGGACAGGGTAGAACTGCCCCATTTTTGCAGCAGAAGATCCTGTATACAGTACCTAGTTGCTGTTTCAAGTTTGTTCAGTATGTTGGGCCTCACAGCCTTTGTAGAATACTTTTAAACCAAAACCAAACCAAACCCATTGCCATCGATTCGATTCTGACTCATGGCGAACCCACGTTATAGAGCAGAACTGCTCCTAGGGATTTCCTGGCTGTAATTTTTATAGAAGCTGATTGCCAGGCCTTTCTTCCAAGGTATTGCTGGGTGAGTCTGAACTGTTGACCTTTAGGTTAGTACCCAAAAAAATCAAACCCGTTGCCATCGAGTCGATTCTGACTCGTAGCGACCCTATAGGACAGAGTAGAACTGCCCCAGAGGGTTTCCAAGGAGCACGTGGTGGATTCGAACTGCCGACCTTTTGGTTAGCAGCCAAGCTCTTAACCAGTGAGCCACCAGGGTTTCCTTTAGGTTAGTAGTTGAGTGCAAACCGTTTTCGCCACTGCAGAGCCCTTTTAATTGGTCTTAAATATAGTTACAATATTCTATAGCTTAACAAACTGTGTAAGTTTAGGAGATGGGGCTTACTAGCTCTCCTTACTGCTTCAGGTTGTAGGGCAGAGTTGCTTACTGAATGTGTTTCTCCCATGGTTTAGGTCTAAAGAAATTGAAGCCACAGGTTGCAATGGAGACGCAGCCTTCCTTGCGGTCCGGGTTCAGCAGGTGGTGATTGAGTTCATCTTGAATCATGTGGATCAAATCTTTAACAACAGTGCACCTGGGTCTCTGGAGAATGATGGTAACAGCCCCTCCTGGCACCACCAGCCCCTTTTCTTTCTTGCCCTAGTCATGGGGCCCAAGAATAGGGTAGGCTTGGTTCTAGCTTTGAGTGTTGACTGTGCTTGTGGCTGACTACTTTGCGTGCCAGTGTCTGTGGATCATGAGTGTAGACGTCTGTATGTATGTAGCAAAGGTATGGTATATTTTAGCTTGTTCCTCATCAGTTGCATACATGACCTACCATGAATGTGGCATGGTGAACTGGAATAATGTTCTGTTGGTCCTGGTGAGTTCTTACACTCTGAGTTACTATGTGGAGGCACTGGCAACATTCCTTTCCTTAACAACTAGATTTTATTTTCGTGTTCAGTATGATATTTCAGATGATCCCTATGCTTTCCTCTTGCAGTCTTAAGTGAACGGGTTAAGAGGCAGCATGTTTATGCTCACATATATATTCAGAAGTATTTATCGCTCTCGTGTATTCGCAATGCGTTCTTTTCACAAGTATTTATTGTGTGCTTACTTTGTTCTCTCCTGCACCAGGCACTAGGGATACAAAAATGAGTGTGTGTTGTGTGTTTATGGGCACATGTGAGTAGTTAGCATTATGTGACTGTAGCCATATTGGTGAGAAATGCACAGCTATTTCAGGCTGGATGTTATGGGATGATTTTTCAATCCTGTAGGTCTCATTATGACTTAATGACCCCTATGAGTGAACTGGTTTATGCCACTTGAATGCATGTGAGCCTAATTTATAAAAACCAGAAATTCAGTTATCAAGAAGCCGGGTACATAACATTTGTGTATGACGGTGGTTTCCCAGTGTTAGCATGCATCAGAATCACCCAATGGGCTTGTTAAAGCACAGGTTATTGGACCTCATCCACCGTTTACGACTCAGTAGGTCTGTAGTGTGACTGATAATTTGCATTTCTAACACGTTTCCGGGTGATGCTGATGCTGGTGGTCTGGGGTGCACACGTGGAGAACCACTGGTATATGAGAACCATATCTGCAAAATGTTTATGTTCGCTGATCAAAGTATTCCTTTTCAGCTCAGGTAATATATTTGGAAAAATCAAGTATAATAATCAGAATACTCAATTGCAATTAGCATCATATTCCAGTTCCTGGTATAATTGTTCCCATCCTTAACCTGCCCTCTATGTGGTTTCTGACCTTCCTTTTTATCTTTATATTAACTCTCCCATTTAGAGATGTAATTTTTATTGTAAGTTGTATCAAAATCTTTTTGGAAGTAAGTGAAAAGTGATAAGCACTCGTTCATTCTTTTAAGTTAACAAGTAAGGTATTGGGGGCTTACTCTCTGCCGGGAACTATTCCAGGCACTCCACATACATCATCTCATTGACTTATCACGACAATCGTCATACAGTTGTTATCAACCTTATTTTATAGAGGGAGGGACTTGAGAACCAGAAAAGCTTACTAACCACCCAAGGTCACATAGCTAGTAACTGGTGGGACTGAATGTTGAACCCAAATCCTTTAGCCTTTGCTCCCTTTTTAACTCTAGGTTGCCTGTGAGGAAAAAAAGTAAGAAAATGCACAGATAAACCACTGAGGAAGATGAATGCCTTTGGAAGACTGTTCTTTCAGACAGTAAATTCCATCCATGATGGTTCATTTTAACGTTGTTCCTATTTCAGCCTGGAAATGCCTGTTGTCATGATCTTTGCCTTCACCGTCTTTTATCCTGCGTGTTGCAACCCAATTTACTCTTGGACCTTTAGCTCTTGACTGCCTCCTATACCTGCGTCTTAGTTATCTAGTGCTGCTGTACCAGAAATGCCGCAAATGGGTGGCTTTAACAAACAGAAATTTATTTTCTCATGGTTTAGGAGGGTAGAAGTCTGAATTCAGGATGCTAGCTTTAGGGGAAGGCTTTCTCGCTCTGTCAGCCTCTTTTGAGCCTCTGCTCCTGGGTAATCTTCATGGGGTTTGGTGTTTTTCTTCCCCCAATCTCTGCTTGCTCACTTGCTTGTTTAATCTCTTTTATATCTCAAAACAAGTTTGACTTAAAACACACTCTACACTAATACTGTCTCATTAACATAACAATCAAATGAGATTATAACCACAGGTTTAGGGGTTAGGATTTATAACACATATTTTGGGGGGACACAATTCAGTTCATAACAACTTGCTCTTCAACTGTGTTTCATTTGAAGGTTTTGTTATGGATTTTTTTTTTTAATAATATTTTATTGAGTTTTTGGTGAAAGTTTATACAAGTTAGGTTCCCATTTGACAATTTCCAAACAAATTGCTCAGTAACATTAGTTACATTTATCACAATCTGTCAGTATTCTCTCTCTCTCTTTTTTTAAATAGTTTTGTTAAGAGTTCTTATTGACTTTGGTGGGGTACCATACTTAATGTTTACACAGAACGGACTAAGTCATCCTGTCTGGAATTTCGGATTTGGACAGCGTTCCATTTCAAACTGGAAAGATTTTAGAAGTCACATAATCTAACACCTTTTAGTCCCTTTATTTGACAGATAAGAGCACTGAGGCCAGAGAGATTGTGATGAGCCCAAGAGTCATTAAAAAATAAATGTACGAAAAATAAATAAATGTACATTGAGCTCCTCCATGTGCCAGGCACTGTTCTGGACCTTGGGGACACATCAGTGCACAAAACAACTACAAAGATCGTGCCCTGAAGACTCTCCCTTTCATAGAGCTATGGTCGAGTAGGGAAGACAGGCCACATATAAGTTTACAAATAAATACATCATCACGTCAAAGACAATAAATACCATGAAAAAAATACAGCAGGGTATGTGACAGTGAGTGACCCAGGGGTGTTATTTTGGGACAGACTGATCATGGTCTCTGAGGAAGCGATCTTTGAACTGAGACCTGAATGACAAGAGGAACCAGCCACATGAGGATGTGGGGGATAAGTGTTCCAGGACCAGAGAACAGGAAGTGCAAAAGCTCTGAGGTGGAAACGGACTCGAAGTGTTGCAGGAAGTAGGTTAGTGTGGTCTCCAGAATGGGGTGCCCCACCCTGTGGATTCCAAAGACAATTACTGTGAGTCCTGGAAGAAACTCTCACAATTTCTTTTTAAATTTATTTTTAATCTTAGACTTTTTAACTACTATTATTTTGGATATGTTTTATCATACACATAATACTAATACAGTGGTATATAAGTATAATTATTTATAAATCTATGCATATGTGTCATGGAAGTGTGTATTTAAAAAAATCATTACTGTATATTTTTTAGACCACTGGGTCAGTGGGTGAAGAGAGGGAAAGCTGATGAAAGGTCCTTGCAGGTCGTGCTAAGAGCAGTTTGTTCTCAGTGTGGTGGGAAGGCACTGGAGGATCTTAAGCAGGGGAGTGGTGTGATTTGGACATCTTTGCAGATGCGGAGAAGAGGGACTGAAAGGCAGCAAGGCTAGAAGCAGGAAAACCAGCTAAGGAGCTGCCGTGGAAATGCTGGTAGAAAATCATGACAGTCTGCACTAGGATGTTAGCACTGGAAAGAAGGAAAGGAGCTAGATTCAGGATATCCTTTGGAGGCCAAGTCACAGGACTTCTTATGGTCAGTATGTGGGGAGGTGTGCATCAAAGAAGGAAGGAATACAAAGTAACTATTCCAGGTTTTTGACTTAAGCAGCTGGGTGGTCAGTGGTGCCATTTGCCAATATGGAGAAGACTGGAGGAGGAACCAGTGGGAGGTGAGGAGCCCACGTCAAGAGCTCTGTTAGGAAATGTAAAGTCAGAGATGTCGAGGAGGCCTCAGGGCAGAGGAGGGTGCTAACCTGGGGTCTCCTGACTCTGTCGTTTATGTCCTTCCTGTTTTTCTGGTTGCTCCCAGTGACTTAATTTTTTTTAAGTAAATAATTAAATAACAAAGTCATAAATAATCTAGAATCTATGAACAAACACTGACAGTCAATTCAATATAAGTATTTTTAACCACCTCTGAGCTGCCGGAAACTTGACTGAAAAGTTTTCAGGATCCCAGGATACAGGCAGTCGCTGGGTTACGAACATCTGATTACGTATAACCCATAGTTACGAACCAACCCCGTAAAGCCTATCATATTAAAAATTCAAGGTACATACAATGGTTAGTAATAGCAAACAGGTGCTACTTTGCGACCATCAAAACATTATTATTATTTCTCTTCAGTGAGTGGCGTCTGGGGTCTTAAAACTTATAAGCGGCCATCTAAGATGCATCAATTGGTCCCGACCACCTGGAGTAAAGGAGAATGAAGAACACCAAAGACACAAGGAAAGTAGTAGCTCAAGAGACAGAAAGGGCCACATAAACCAGAGACTTCATCAACCTGAGATCAGAAGAACTAGATGGTGCCCGGCTACCACCAATGACCACCCTGACAGGGAACACAACAGAGAGTCCCTGATGG